TGAATCTCTAATCACACTTTAATTTTTACTTTATCCTTGATTAACCTTTAAACTTAGGATTAAGAAATTCAAGATGTTATAGAAACACCTAGCCAAAGGTAATCTAACTTACCTACAGACTATGGTTTTTCCTCCTCACACACTTGTGATAGAGGTGTCATTGACTCCTAACCACACCCTAACGAGCACTAGGGAGTTGTCAGACCATCTGGATGTCCCATGGTAATAGTACTATAAGATGTTGTGTCAAATTACCTATGGTAATAGCCTATAAAATGTTGCACTGAATGTCCCATAGTGCCAGCCCAACCATATAAATTTTTCGGTCACAAATCTCCACACACACAACCCCACATATCTTGGGTGAACTCCCACCCCTTATGATCATGCTCTTTTACAACTTTCACTACTTATATATCTTTCCACAATATATATATATCCATTAAAGTCAATAACTTTTTAAATTCATTTTATAATGCAGAGTTCATGCTAAAACTCATAATTCACAATTTAACATTTCACATTCACTTCTGCACAGTTATAATAGTTAATAAATATAAACCATATTCAAGCTCTTCTCTTGTAATTCATACATCATACACTAGAATCTACACAGAATTGGCATTCAGAGTCAATTCCTTTATTGACCAAAAGTGCCAATTATCATAATTAAACACTTAATTGCTATCGAATCCACATTTCACACTTGATTATGCACATTATCATTGATCACCTCTCATTTTAAGCTTTAACATTTTCTAGTAATTTTTTTCTCTCGCTACTCTTTCTCTAGATTATGGCAATTTTTGCCTAAAGTTTTAAAACTTTATCATTTCAACTTTAACCAGCTACAAAGCACTAGTTTAACTCCAGAGAATCTTTTTATTACTATTGAGTAAGAAATCAACTCCTAAAACTCCCGAATTCACTTTCTTATTGGTTAAGACTAAGAGAAAATGGGGTAGATTAGAGGTTAAGGCAGTATGTGACTTACCTGATAAGTAACGAGTCAGAAACACCATCCTTGCTCCTGATTTAGCTTGCTCTAGCACAGCCTTAGCTCTTCTCCATGCCAGACCTCTCCTCCCACGTTTCTCCCTTATATTTTTCAAGTTAGACACATCCCTATTAATATGATTTTTGCTCTATGTGCTACAGTGCATCTACTACCCATCGCGGTGTGTGGCACAGTGAGGAAAATCCTCACTATGCTCACACGTTCTGCTTCATGACCCCACTCTTCTACTCATATCTGTTCATATAATATCCCAATAAGTCAGTATATCACTTCACTACTCAGAACTTTAATCCCTATATTAAATCACCAATTCACCCCTAATCAATCATTAATACAGGATTTGAAATTCGGGAAGTTACAGTTCTCCCTTCCTTTTTAAGAATTTTGTCCCCAAAATTGAAACAACTATTAACTCACATTTCCCTAAGGGAATAACTGAGCGTATAGCTAGAGCCAGGAAAATGGGCCGAGCCTGTCGGGCTAGCCTGTTTAAGCCCGTATAAGAGTAGGGCCGGGCTTGTAAATAAGACTCCAAAATGATAAATCAGGCTTAAACGGGCTGGCCTGTTTAAGCCCGTTTAATCTTGGGCTTAAAAGGGCTAGCCCGTTTAAGCCCACATATGTATTTTTTTTAATTAATTCTCATAATTTTTACTCTTTTTACATTTAAAAAAATTAAACTAAATGTTACTCCACATCACATGTTAGCCCATATTTACTGAGGATGAAAGGTAAAAAAGAAGGAAAAATAGCAATGAAGAATCACTGATCAAAAATTATATCAGTCAAAGATCACTTGTTGTCAAAATTCGAACAGACACTTATGAATTCGAGTTAGCCTTTATCAATAAGTATTCATTTAGATTTTAATAACAACTCATTTTAAATTAATAATAGTTCATTGTAGCTTATTTTTCATTCAGGTTTTAACAATAATTGATTCTTAATTGATACAAATTTCATACAGAAATCCTTGGCTGCTATTTTCTAAAAAAAATACAACCTTAAATTCCCTAATTCATCTAGATCCATGATAATGATTCATTCAGTTCAACATTTACTCTTCTAATTTTGATTGGGTGTTTATCGGCTTAATCGATCTATTACTTATTGCATTGTTATTATTTTATTTGTGTTTTTAGTTCATTTAGATGTTATTTAGTTAGTTTTTTATATCTTTTTTGATTGAGTATTATATTAGAATGAAGTAATTTTTTGTTTGATTAAAAAATTTAAAAAAATAAAAATAGTTAAAAGGGCCTAAAGCCCGCAGGGCCAGCCCTTTTAAGCCCGAGTTCCCTTTTTACCAGCTTTACGTATAGCTATCTCATCTTAGCTTTTGTCTCTTAGGTTGCATCACCAAGAGTCATACCCTTCCAAAATACTTTCACCAGTTAAATAATCTTATTTCTTAATTGGTTATCTCTCACATCCACTGTTCATTCTAGTTCTGTCTTGTGGGTCATATTTTCTTGTAATTCTACTTCTTCAAGCTCAATCACATGAGAAGGATTTGGTTGGTACTTCTTGAGTTGAGACACATGGAACACATTATGAAGCCTAGATAATTATGGAAGCAAAGTAATTTGATAAGCAACTGGTCTGATCCTCTCTAAGACTTCAAACGGACCTATAAATCTAGGAGTCAATTTCTTGGTTCTAATTAATCTCCCAATTCTTGTTATGGGCATAACTTTCAAAAACACATGATCACCTATCAAATACTCCAATGGTCTCCTTCTTCAATCAACATAGCTCTTTTGCTTGCTTTGAGCTATCAATAACTTCTATCGTATCAACTCAATCTTTTAAGTAGTTTGATCCACAATATCTAGCCCTACTATGCTTCTTTCACTTAGTTCGGTCCAACACAGAGATGATCTATACTTTCTTCCATATAAAGCTTCATATGGAGCCATTTGAATGCTAAAATGATAACTATTATTGTATGCGAATTTGGCCAATGGCAAATAGCTATCCCAACTACCACACAACTCTAACACACAAGATTGCAGCATATCTTCTAGAGTCTGAATGGTTCCTCTATTTGTCCATCAGTTTGAGAATGATAACCAGTACTAAACTTCAAAATAGTACCCATGGCTCTTTGTAACACTCTTTAGAACCTGGATGTAAATCTTAAATCTCAATCAGAGACTATTTCCTTAAGCACTCCATGTAAACTTACAACCTCTCAAATATAGGTCTCAACTAGCTTCTCTAGGAATCACTGATCCTGATGGCTAAAAAGTGAGCTGATTTAGTCAATCGGTCAACAATCATTCAAATAGCATCATGTCCCAATTGAGTTCTTGGTAATCCAGAGATAAAATCCATGGAAATGCTATCCCATTTTCACTTAGGTATTTCTAAAGGCTGTAATGTCCCAGCCGGACTCTGATGTTCAATTTTCACTTTCTAGCAAGTCAAACACTGTGCTACAAACTCTGTCACCTCTCTTTTCATTCCTGGCCATTACTGATACATCTTTGTGGCTCCTAGGTGAATAGTGTATTTGCTGCAGAGTGCTTAATTCAGAATCACCCTTCTCAAATCTTCATTACTAGGAACATAAATTCTATCTCGATAAACTACGAATCCATCAACATTGAAGTTGAAATCTGTAGCCAGATTCTATTCAACTTCTTCTCGAATCTTAAGAAGATACTCATCTTCTAACTGTGCCATTCTCAATTTCTTCAAAAAATCACTACTAATCACAGTAGTGTAAACACCAACTAAAGTTTTCAATGGTGCATCCTTTTGAGAATCAATGAAAGACTCTATTAGATTGTGTTCTTGGATCATTAGACTGGTTATATGTAATGTCTTCCTGCTCAATGCATCAACTACTACATTAGCTTTTCCCTGATGGCATTTCAACTCAAAGTTATAGCCTTTAAACAATTCCATCCATCTTCTTTATCTCATATTCAATTCCTTCTAGTCCATTAGATACTTTAAACTCTTGAATGGTCATTGAACACGCTAAACACTGACCTAAACAAATAATGATGCCAAATATTCAGTGCAAAAACCACTACTACGAATTCTAAATTATGAGCCGGGTAGTTCTCTTCATATGGCCTGAGTTGTCTTGATGCATATGCCACCACTCTTCCATCTTGCATTAGTACACAACCCAAACCTCTTAAGGAAGTATCTGTATACACCTCATATGGTAGTCTCGAATTCAGAATTATTAACACAGGTGCTATTGTTAATCTCTCTTTCAACTTCTGAAATGTAGTCTTACACCTGTCGTCCCAAATAAAAGGTTGATCTTTCCAAGTCAATTTCATCAATGGGAAAGCAATTTGAGAGAAACCTTAAATAAACCTTCTGTAATATTCAGTTAATCCTATAAAACTTCAAATTTCTATAACTGACCTAGGCTGTTCCCATTTCAACACAACATCAACTTTATGAGGATCAATAGAAATTCCATCTGCTGATAACATATGGCCTAAAAATCTAACTTCTCTCAGGAAAAAATTGCACTTACTGAGCTTGGCATAGAGTTTGTTCTCCTTAAGAATCTGAAGGATAATCCGAAGATGTTTGGCATGTTGTTCCTCACTTTCGAATAAACCAGAATGTCATCGATAAGAACCACAACAAACTAGTCTAAATATGGTCTAAAGATACGATTAATGTAATTCATGAAAATCGCAGGTGCATTGGTCAAACCAAATGGCATGACAAGGAACTCATAATGCCCATAACACATACGAAGGAATGTTTTAGGTACATCTTTCTCAGAAACCTTTAGCTGATGATACCTTGACCTCAAGTCAATCTTGGAAAAGACTGAGGCTCTTGCCAATTGATCTAACATATCATTAATCCTAGCTAAAGGGTACTTATTCTTCACCGTCACCTTGTTCAATTACCAGTAATCAATATATAATCGTAAACTACCATCTTTCTTTCTTACAAATAACACTGGCAAACCCCAAGATGATACACTCAGCCTGATGAATCATTTGTTAAGCAAATCCTCAATCTGCTTCTTCAATTCATTCAACTCTGAGGGTGACATCCGGTAAGGGGCTTTAGAAATTGATTCTGTACCAGGAACCAAATCTATTGAGAATTCAACTTCTCTTTTCGGAGGTAATCCAGACATCTCCTCAGAAAATATCTCATGAAATTCACTGGCCACTCTAATTTTCTCAATACCACCGTCATACATGCTGCTGGTAGCACAAACTACTATGTAGGAGTCACACCCTTTCTTGATTAGCTTCTCAGCTTGCACAACTGATAGGAACCTAAGTTGCTCAGTAGAACTAGTTCCTGCCAACGACACTAACAAAGACACTAACTTCCTGGCACAATCTAGCGTAGCATTATTAACTGCTAGCCAATCCATGCCAACTATCACATTAATCCCTTTCATAGGAATGTAAATCAGATTGATCACGGATACTCAATTCTCAAATACAATCTCAACTCTCTAACATGCTCTGCTACTAATACTTGAAAGTCCAGAAGGCATGTCACTTTAATTATCATAGGTAACTCTTTCAATTCTAACTTCAATCTATCTACACGTTCTTTTGACATGAACGAATGTGTAGCTCTCAAATCAAATAAAGCTTCAATTCTATTACCACAGACAAAATAATACCTTTGATCAAGTTCGAAGATGCTCTGGCCTCTTCTTGCGTCACAGCAAATACTCATCCCAAAATTGTAGCACGCTACTCTACCATTTCAACTCCACCTTCAAAATAATATTTGGCAACATGGCCTAGTTTCCCACACTTAAAATAGGACCAACATTTTCCCACATGGAATCAACTATAGACATTGCACTAGGGTGACCTTCCAGTACTAAAAGTAGGAGCCAGTGTGTTCGAAGCTTGCCTTGAAGGTTATTGAGGTCCAATTCTAAACCCAGTACTCCTCAATTCTTCTAACAAGTTATCTCCTCTATCAGCTAGTTGAGGTACATCCAGTTGAACCTCAAGCACAGGTTCATCCTCAACCAGACGCCTATATACTCAGGTGCTACATGTAGGTCGAGTACCTCTTCTTCTCATATTTTCTCCCCTCCTAAGGATGAAATTAACACAAAAGTTAAAGAAAAGGGAAAGAATAGGTGTAATGAGTAATATATAAGTTTCCAAAACCTAGAATGAATGCAGACACAAGCATATAATCGAATCAAAAAACTGAAAAAACTAATACCAATAAATTGTGATGCCCTCACTGATATTACCATACTCTCCACTACACAAATCACTAATTACTTCTAATCTATGAGTTAAAATCGTCGAAAATATTAGGATCTCAATAAAAGATTTCTAGAAAATATTTTATAATCATTTGGGTTATTCAACCCCAAACACAATTACATACACAATAGAAGCATATAGATTTGGTGCACAAAGGTCAATAAAACATGTGCATCACTTAAAAATAAAGTGACAATTTGCACCGTGCACTGCAGCTCGTGCCACATGTGCATGCTGCAGCGTACACACCTGAATTTGATGTTAAATGGCAGTTTCTGATATAAAATTTAGATGCGTGCAATTTCCACATACGAAATCTAATTGGGATGGTTGCTTATTTTGAAATCTAACTAATGACACTAGTTTTATCCCAATTCAATATTTTTATCAAAAATTAAACACTAAAGTGCATTTTGACTATTTTTTTATCAAATTTTTATCATTTAAGTGTCTTAATTTAAAACCAATTGTCATTAGCTACTTTTTGGGCCATAACTAAGTCTAAATGGACAAAATATACCTAATTGACCATACATATGCACAATATAACACATACACAATTTTGGCCTATAACCTACACATTTCACACTTTGGGCCAAAATCACATTTTTTTTACTTTTTGAGTCTTATATATGGCCAAATCACTCTATATAATCTCCACCCATTTCGTATACATATATAATTAATTACATCCACTAGCCCCTTTCAATCATTTCATCATTCACACATATACAAGATTAGGGAGTTCAAAATCACAAACCATACCACAATTATATCTTATGCACATGTACAAATTCTATGGCAATTTATACATATACAAGACTGATATCAACTAAATTCATTACACCATATCTTACAAAGATTCAGGTAAGAGATATCAACTTAGCCTATATCTTTTCCCTTTGACCCACTAACACCACAGCCTGAAAAATATAAATAACCACGGGTGAGATAAAATCTCAGTAACTAAATATAATTCATTAAATGTCTATTATCACAAATAACCATGCTAAAGTAACTGAAAACATTATATAGCACATATATACATATAACATATCAATTCTAAATTATCTTTTTCGCATATAAATCACATTTCAAATACTTTTACACCACAGCATGATCAACTATCCACCAATCTTCTAAAGCTCCTTGACGCAAAACTATAGGCTCTTTTAGATCAACCACTTGTTGACCCGAGCTCACTTTCAGTGGTAGAAACACTCAGCCAAAGGTAATCTAACTTACCTACAGACTATGGTTTTTCCTCCTCACACACTTGTGATAAAGGTGTCATTGACTCCTAACCGCACCCTAACGGGCACTAAGGAGTTGCCAGACTACCCGAATGTCCCATGGTAACGGTCCCATAAGATGCTGTACTGGATTACCCATGGTAACAACCCGTAAAATGCTGCACCGGATGTCCCATGGTGCCAGCCTAACTATATGGATTTTTAACTCACAAATCTCCACACACACACAACCCCACATATCCTGGGTGAACTCCCACCCCCTATGATCATGCTCGTTCACAACTTTCACTGCTTATACACCTTTCCACAACATATATATATATATATATATCCATTGAAATCAATAAGTTTTTAACTTCATTTCACAATGCAAAGTTCATGTTAAAACTCATAAATTCACAATTTAACATTTAACATTCACTTCTGCACAGTTATAATAGTTAATAAACATAATAAACTACATGGTTACCTCAACCCTTCTGTTCATTAGAAAGGGTTACTCATGTAACTTCAACCCTATTGACTAAAATTGCCAACTATCACAATTAAACACTTAATTGCTATCAAATCCACATTTCATGCTCGATTATGCACATTACTACTAATCATCCCTCATTTCAAGCTTTAACATTGTCTAGCAATTTTTTTCTCTCACTACTCTCTCTCTAAATTTGGGCAATTCTTGCCTAAAGCTTTAAAACTTTATTGTTTCAAATTTAACCAATTACAAAGCACTAGTTTTAACTTTAGAGAACTTTTTTATTACTATTGAGTAAGAAATCAACACCTAAAACTCCCGAATTCACTTTCTCATTGGTTAAGACTAAGAGAAAATAGGGTAGATTTGGAGGTTAAGGCAATACGTGACTTACTCGATAAGTAACGAGTCAGAAACACTATCCTTGCTCCTGATTTAGCTTGCTTTAGCATAGCCTTAGCTCTTCTCCGCACCAGACCTCTCCTCTCACGTTTCTCCCTTTTGTTTTTCAAGTTAGACATGTCCCTATTAATCTGATTTTTGCTCCATGCACCGCGGTGCATCTGCCACACATTGCTGCGCATGACACAATGAGGAAAATCATTACTATGCTCACATGCTCTGCTTTAAGACCCCGTTCTTCTATTTATATTTGTTCATATAATATCCTAATGAGTCAATATATCACTTCACTACTCAGAACTCTAATCTCTATATTAAGTCACCGATTCATCCTTAATTAGTCATTAATGCAGGATTAGAAATTCAGGATGTTACAAATGGTATGACTACCATATGTATAAATGAATATATATATATATATAGTTGTTCATAGGGTTTGAGTTACCAACTAGGATGCATAAGTGATTGTGTATATAAATTGTGTTGTGAAAACCTTGCTTGTATGTGTATTTGATGTTGCATCTTGCCAAGGCAGCCCAAGTGAGAGGGTGTGTGGGTAGGCCTAGATGGTAAACAAGCAAGTGTATGATATTGTGTAACTTATTCCACTTGTTTATATGTGAAAATTGATGTGATGAATGTGTTTGTGTATGTGAGAACTTGACACAATAGTAAGGTGGAGCCCTATTTGGAAGAGTCGAGTATGTTATGATTTTCAATCATTGTATATGTAAGAGTTGGAGGGTTGAAAGTGGAATAAGTCTAATTGTATATATATGTTGTATGCGTATTCATCATATAAATTCGCAATTGTATAAAGTGGCATTGGGAGGCCAAAATGGGCAATTAATGTGATTTATGTGATTAAAGGTGACAACTAGGTATATGTGGTCCTTTCAGACTTAGTTCAAGGCCTGAAGTAGTCTAATAGGACACGAAATGATAATTGAGCATTTAGAGTGAAAGTTTTTGAAAGAAAAGTAACTTTTTACACCCCAAATGTCCAATTTTAGATTGGACCATTAGATCAAGTCCAAATTTATTCCATTAGCTAGTATATGTTGTATGCTTCGTGTGGGCGATTGAATCACTCCAATTGAACATTGAATGTGGAAACAGTGTGTGGCAAAAGTTCACCTTATGAGCTATCATATGACAATAGAAATTGTTGTCATATGCACCGTGCATGGCATAGACAGAAACAAAGCACGTTGCTCTATAGGGTATAAGCCACAACCCATGTTGTACACGCCGCAGTGTATGACCCTTTTTTAGGGTTGAAATGTTATGTCTTTTTGAGTTGTTTGACTATGTTTACGCTTCTGCTAGCCCTCTTATTTAAATATATGTTTTAAGAAGTCAGGTTCCCGCATTTTAAAAATAAATAAAGGGCTATTACTCTAATATTATTGTTTGTGCTCATTGATTGTGTGTTTTAGGAATGGTAAAGTCCTGTTTGAGTTGGGACTTTACATTTGCACACCTTACCAGAATCCTCTAGACACATAAAGCCTTCAAGTTGTGTCATGTGTGCACTTCCTTAAGTAGACATCCATTAAGAAATGCTGTTTTAACATCCATCTACCATATTTCATAGTCATAATATGCTATAATGGCAAGAAGGATTCTAATTGATTTTGCCATTGCAACTTGGGAAAAAGTTTTATCATAGTCTACACCATGAGTTTGGGTAGATCTTTTTGCAACCAATTGTGCCTTTAAGACATTTATTTTGCCATCTATATTAGTTTTCTCCTTAAAAACTCATTTGCACCTGATGGTTTTTATACCTTTAAGTGGATCAACTAAGGTCCACACCTTATTATCATACATGGATTGCATTTTAGACTTCATGGCATTTAGCCATTTTTTAAAATTTAGTCCCACTATAGCTTTTTGATATGTGGTTGGCTCATTGTTTTCAATGAGTAACACATCAGGACATTTATTAATCAAAAATCCATATCTCTAAGGATGATGTCGTGTCCTATCAGACCTT